AACACAGAATTGAACTTTATTGCTCAAATTGTAAGCCATATACAGCTATAAAGGCTTTGTTTGGGTTAGTAACCTAGGAAAGCCGAGTAGTGTGGCTTATATCCACGGGGGAATGTGAGTTTCCTTTCCAAATACAGCCTAAAATAAAAATTTGACCGGGATACGCCCCATACTAAGACTTTTTCAGTTTCAAAATGATAATTCTCTGTATTAAAAAAATATTAGATATAAGGCATTGTGTTGTTACCTTATTCTTTTAGTTAAACATTGGAACAAATATGTTTCCCTGACAATTCTATCACTATGAATGGGACTCGTACAAGGTATTGAAATCGGTCACCCTTTAACCGGGGAGACTTCGACAAGGCAATGAGGATATTGTGAAATATTCCAGTAAGGTTTTTCAGAATAACAGACTGACTCTTAGGTATCTGTTTACTGCTAAGTAATAAGGGAACAGATGTTGCGTTGCTCATACTCTCCTTGCTTCAGAATGAACCCTGGTTCTATCACCGAGTTTAGGCACAAGTGTTGTGAATGTTCAGAGTTTGTTAGTTTAATATGTTTATTATGCACCCCATAACCCATCCTGTGGGCGGTAGTAAAAAGATTACAGAGGTACATTAATTGGTCCAGGGACTGGACCCCAAAAGTTTTGATAGCTGAGCAAGTTACAGAGGTAATGAACTCACAATTTACAAAGGTAATGAACTCACAATTTACAAAGGTAATGAACTCAAAATTTACAAGGTAATGAACTCCAGGTAAGTCTGGTCACAATCATGACAAGTTACAAAGGTTTTTTACAGATTACAGAGGTACGTAATGGGTCCGGGGACTGGGCCCCCAAAGTTTTGATAGCTGAACTAGGTAAAAAGGTAATGAGCTCACAAGTTACAAAGGTAATGAATTCTGTAGAATGGTTACTTACGTTAATATTTTGGCTACAATCATGAACAAATTATAGAGTAATGAGCAATTCACACTTCCACACCCGGTCACAACTGTAATGAGTTATTGGGCAAATTTATTGATTATTGAGTCACACACACCACACACACACACACACACACACACACACACACACCACACACACACACACACCACACACACACACACACACACACACACACACACTTTTAGTTTAATATCTTTATGCACCCCATAACCCATCCTGTGGGCGGTAGTCAAAAGATTACAAAGGTACATAAGGGGTCCAGTGACTGGACCCCAAAGTTATGATAGCTGAACTAGTTACAAAGGAAATTTGAACTCCAGGTAGATCTGGTCACTAATCATGGCAAGTTACAGAGGTAATGAATCAGCTTCACTCCTATACATGGTTACAGTCATGAACAAATTACAAAGTAATGAACCACTGATACGTCCACACCTGGTCACAATTGTAATGAGTTATAAATACAAATATTAAGTGGATCATACACCCACACTAGCGCGCGCGCGCACATACACACACGAGGGCGCACGCACGGACATGTGCACACGAGCGTACAAAATATGCATACACACAAGGAGCACACCCACACACACACACCAAAACACAACACACCAACACCCACACACACACACCCTCACACACACCCACACAACACCCTCACACACACCCACACACACACACCACACACACACACACACACACACCCACACACCCACACACGCGCACACACACCCACACACGCACACACACACACACACACACACACGCCACACACACACACACCCCCTCACACACACCCGCACACACCCCTCACACACCCCCACACACACGCACGCACACACACACACACACACACACCACCACACACAACACACACACACACACACACCCCACACACACCCACACACACACACACACACACACACACACACACACACACACACACTGCACACATGCACACATGTGGTAATGCTTTTTTTACAGCTAGCAAAGTCGGGGTTATTTCTCCAGAATGGTCTGCAATATACCACTGTGGATAAAATACTTAGCCATTTCTTGAACACTTCTGGTGAGTTGTTTCTAAATTCATTAATTTTATCACACTCCAGTACATAATGACGCAAGGTGTGACAATAATCCATCTGGCAAAGTTTACATTTCGTTTGGTCTACATCTGGTGGTGGTGATTTAACCTGCCAAAAGATACTTGTAACCCAGCCGGACCCGGGCAGTAGTGACATCCAAAAGGTCTCCCTTATTTTGTTGGATGCACCATAGACATGTGGCTCCTCCTGCATGATGGAATGATGATAGATGGAAACGACTTGTGTCAATCTCCCTAAGTCTTAAGTCAATAAAGTTCATTTGAAGTTCTTTTCGTTTTTATTGTTCTCAAACTGCTAAATGACAACCCAAGATTGTAATCTACCCCCTCTTTGAAAGCATACAGCTTAGCCAATTTATCAGTTCTATCATGCATTGAAGACCAATGTGAGATGGAAATCCACAGAAATGTGCATTTCTGACTCCACTGTCCACAATTTTAACCATATCTATGTCTGGCTTCTGACACAAGCATGCCACAATTTATACTTAATGAGTTGAGAGCATTTATGGATGACAGAGAATCAGTTACAATTAAAGTGTCAACCTTAGATACATGGACACATTTGAGTGCAAGGAGTATGGCAAACATTTCTGTTTGAAGGGGAGAGGCCCAGTTATTTTATGCGTGCTCCAATTTCTTTATGAGAGCCATCACTCTGTGTGACAACAGCAGCACTAAAACCCGCTGCACCAGTGGATGGTGAACAGAACCATCGACGTAAATAATTGTGAAAGTTTGTTCTGTGTGACTAAGTTATCAATACAGCTTAAGGCATCATGTTTGGCTTCAAGACGAAGCTTTTGGTTGTGATTTAAGAAGAGTTTTGGGGGGAAATGGAGGAATGGTAGTTTGGAATGGGGTAATATCCCCTGGAGCAGGGAAATGTCTCTGTTGTCCAACTTGATATAAAATCATGTAGCTGGTTCATGCGGAGTCGGTTCCAGTTTTTTCGATCCATCTGAAGGATGTTCACCAGTGCTGAGAAAGTTTGGAGGGCTTCTGTGCGGGGGTTTTAATGGGCTAGCCTAAGCATATTGACCCCAATAAGGGTATTTCTTTTCAGTAACACGATCTCTAATGCTTGGAATATTAAGTTCTTTCCCCATATTTAAAATTTTGGCAGTACGAGGGCATCCTAGGGTGATCCTCATTGCTTCGTTTTGCAGTTTTTTCCAGCCCTCCAAGCTTCCAGTCAGACACGAGTGCAAGTAGTGGCGCTGCATAATCAACCAAAGATCTAATATAAGCAAGATACATCATTTTCACAATTTTAACATTAGCACCATAACCCGGGATTAAAAACCCGCCACAACTCTAAGTGCTCTCAGCCTTTCTTTTGATTGGCGACAAAGTCTCGTTACAACAGGGCCAAGTTAGTGGAACCTCAAAGCCTAGATACCTGTATCTGCTTACATATTTTAGAAGAGACCCATCATGCAACTGGATCTGACGAACTGTGCCTCTTGCCGAGGAGGGGCGCCTGTTGAGTATCTTTATTTTATCCCCTGAGATTATTAACCCAGGTCCTGACACGAGGCTAAAACATGATTAAGAATGTTTTTGGGGGTTGGAGAATCCGGTAGTGTGAATCATTTTGTCCCTCAGCAAAACTAACCATATAATGATGGGGCTGGCTAGGCATGGCATTAATAGTAGGCATTAATCAAAATGTTGAAAAGGGTGGACTAAGCACACCAGCAATTTGTCTATTAATCCACGAGTTTATCTGACTTAGGTGTTTCTCGAAAAATATCATTTTTCTCCCTCACTATTTTCTGCGAAAAAAACGTAAGAACTTTAGCTCCACTTTCTTTGTTGATACATTTAAAGCGAGAACAGAAATGCTCTAACTTCAAGAATTTTCGTCTTATTCCCCTTTTAAGTAGAGACTTAAAGCCCCGCTGAACAACAACTAGGAGACGCGGTTCATTGAGCGACCGGGTCAGTTTATGCATATCACTGAAGGGAGACGGATGGTCGCAATGTCGCTTCCGAGGTGGGTTGCTGGTAGTGGTGTTAGTAGGTGGTTAGCAGCACAACCTGGTACCCAGCTAATATATCCACCTCAAACCTTGGCTATCCTCAAGCCATCTCTTACAACCTCCCTAGTGAAGCCAGCTGCGCTATGCTTGCTGACGGGAAGAGGGGGGTTTGATGTACAAATTACAAAGATGGAATATGTGCCATGTATAAAGTGCCTACAGAGGCTATATGGATCATCTTCCGAGGGAAGCACTACAGCCTGCAAAACCCGACTACCAAAAGGTCAGATAGTCTACGTCCTCCGATTATTTTAATATAATAAATAGTGTGCAGGTGCCTTTTACACAGCACACACAATATAAAGAATTGGACACATGTAAAACATCTGGGTATCTTTATTGGACACACTTTTACAACTTTGGGTGTCTTTATTTGTAGACGTTTCGCTCTTCAGAGGCTTTATCAGTACAAGTCAAACTACGGTGCTCATCACCAGCTCCAAGACTGAGGGACTCATTACCTCGTCTTTTGAATATAGTTCTACATTCTTCACATTATGTCCTTTTATTGATAAAGCCACTGGTTTGGCGAAAACGTCTACAGTTAAAGATAAACAGATGCTGCACATGTGTCTAATACTTCATCTTGCCGTTATTGTATAAGTTTCTTGTACAACGCAGACATTTCCAAAAGTCTGGATTTTCCTTAGGCAGAAATGACATTGAAATAAATTGGGTAGACAAACAGCTCTTAGCCTGTAAATGAGCTGAAGTAAGATAACTCTTAGCCAGTAAATGAGCTGAAGTAAGATAACTCTTAGCCAGTAAATGAGCTGAGGTAAGGAAATTCTTAGCCCGTCAATGAACAGAGCTAGGCTAGCAGCTCTCACCCTGTAAATTGAGCTTTGATTTGCAAATTAATCAACTCCTTATGTTCTTCCCGTAGGCTGCCTACCTCCCCTGGTGTACGTGTACAAAGTGGGTTGTGTGTACCTCCATCTGACACCCATGGACTGGACCCAGGCTAGGTCCTATTGCTTCACGATGGCAGCTGATCTTGCAGCTCCCATTACCTTCCAGGCAATGCAGAAGTACCTCAGTCTACACAACAATACCAGTGAGTGTTTTTGTTGCTTGTAACCCTTAACATTAGCGTCCTTGTGGCCTGGTAGCAAAAGTTCTCGCTTCACATGGTGAGGTGTCCGGGTTCGATTCCCGGCAAGGGTGAAAACATTGGGCGTGTTTTCTTACACCGGTTGTTCATGTTCACCTATCAGTAATAATAGGTACTTGGGTGTTAGTCGACTGGTGCGGGACGCAACCCGGGACAAAACTGACCTAATTTGCTCGAAATGCTCTGCATAACAAGCGGCATCAATCACATCTGCTAGAAAAATGGCAGGATGGATAATGAGAGCCTTCAAAACCTGGCCAAAGCAGCATGAGTTCGAGTCCTTGGCTAGTGGAGTGTTGTTATTGATCAATACCACTCGTTCGTGGTCACAGTAATATAAAATACTGCTCGTTGAACTAATACACCAAACAGGGACTAGAATGAAATTACCTGGAGACGTGGAGTTTACCTGGAGAGAGCTCCGGGGGTCAACGCCCCCGCGGCCCTGTCTGAGACCAGGCCTCCTGGTGGATCAGAGCCTGATCAACCAGGCTGTTGCTGCTGGCTGCACGCAAACCAACATACGAGCCACAGCCCGGCTGATCCGGAACTGACTTTAGGTGCTTGTCCAGTGCCAGCTTGAAGACTGCCAGGGGTCTGTTGGTAATCCGCCTTATGTGTGCTGGGAGGCAGTTGAACAGTCTCGGGCCCCTGACACTTATTGTATGGTCATCTTAACGTGCTAGTGACACCCCTGCTTTCATTGGGGGGATGGTGCATCGTCTGCCAAGTCTTTTGCTTTCGTAATGAGTGATTTCGTGTGCAAGTTCGGTACTAGTCCCTCTAGGATTTTCCAGGTGTATATAATCATGTATCTCTCCCTCTGCGTTCCAGGGAATACAGGTTTAGGAACCTCAGCGCTCCAATAATGAGGTGTTTTATCTCCGTTATGCGCGCCGTGAAAGTTCTCTGTACATTTTCTAGGTCGGCAATTTCACCTGCCTTGAAAGGTGCTGTTAGTGTGCAGCAATATTCCAGCCTAGATAGAACAAGTGACCTGAAGAGTGTCATCATGGGCTTGGCATCCCTAGTTTTGAAGGTTCTCATTATCCATCCTGTCATTTTTCTAGCAGATGCGATTGATACAATGTTATGGTCCTTGAAGGTGAGATCCTCCGACATGATCATCCCAGGTCTTTGACGTTGGTGTTTCGCTCTATTTTGTGGCCAGAATTTGTTTTGTACTCTGTTGACGATTTAATTTCCTCGTGTTTGCCATATCTGAGTAATTGAAATTTCTCATCGTTAAACTTCATATTGTTTTCTGCAGCCCACTGAAAGAATTGGTTGATGTCCTCCTGGAGCCTTGCAGTGTCTGCAATGGAAGACACTGTCATGCAGATTCGGGTGACATCTGCAAAGGAAGACACGGTGCTGTGGCTGACATCCTTGTCTATGTCAGATATGAGGATGAGGAACAAGATAGGAGCAAGTACTGTGCCTTGTGGAACAGAGCTTTTTCACCGTAGCTGCCTCGGACTTTACTCTGTTGACTACTACTCTCTGTGTTCTGTTAGTGAGGAAATTATAGATCCATCGACCGACTTTTCCCGTTATTCCTTTAGCACGTATTTTGTGCGCTATTACGCCATGGTCACACTTGTCGAAGGCTTTTGCAAAGTCTGTATATATTACATCTGCATTCTTTTTGTCTTCTAGTGCATCTAGGACCTTGTCGTAGTGATCCAATAGTTGAGACAGACAGGAGCGACCTGTTCTAAACCCATGTTGCCCTGGGTTGTGTAATTGATGGGTTTCTAGATGGGTGGTGATCTTGCTTCTTAGGACCCTTTCAAAGATTTTTATGATATGGGATGTTAGTGCTATCGGTCTGTAGTTCTTTGCTGTTGCTTTAATGCCCCCTTTGTGGAGTGGGGCTATGTGTTGTTTTTAGTAACTGTGGGACGACCCCCGTGTCCATGCTCCCTCTCCATAGGATGGTAAAAGCTCGTGATAGGGGCTTCTTGCAGTTCTTGATGAACACGGAGTTCCATGAGTCTGGCCCTGGGGCAGAGTGCATGGGCATGTCATTTATCGCCTGTTCGAAGTCATTTGGCGTCAGGTTAACATCAGACAGGCTTGTGTTAACCAAATTCTGTGGCTCTCTCATAAAAAATTCATTTTGATCTTCGACTCTCATTCTGGTTAGCGGCTTGCTAAAAACTGAGTCATATTGGGATATGAGTAGCTCATTCATTTCCTTGCTGTCATCTGTGTAGGACCCATCTTGTTTAAGTAGGGGCCCAATACTGGACGTTGTTCTCGACTTTGATTTGGCATAGGAGAAGAAATACTTTGGGTATCTTTCGATTTCATTTATGGCTTTTAGTTCTTCCCGCGAGTTTCTGACTCCTATAAGATTCCTTTAGCTTAAGTTCGATGCTTGCTATTTCTCTGACCAGTGTCTCCCTACGCCTTTCAGATATATTGACTTCTTTTAGCCGCTCTGTTATTCTTTTCCGTCGCCTGTAAAGGGAGCGCCTGTCCCTTTCTATTTTACATTACTCCTCCTTTTCTTAGAGGAATAAGCCTTGTGCATACATCGAGCGTATATAGTACACTGAAATACTTGTACATTAATATATTTATATATATATATATATATATATATATATATATATATATATATATATATATTATTGTGACCACGAACGAGCGGTATTGATCAATAACAACACTGTACTAGCCAAGGACTCGAACCCATGCCGCTTTGGCCTGCCTCATGGTGGGCGAAAATGCATGACGCCCTGATCCACTGGACTATACGATCCTTAAGACCCTCTTGTAGTCGATCGTTTTCAGATCTAATTAACCAGTAAGTTAAGACCCTCTTGTAGTCGATCGTTTTCAGATCTAATTAATCAGTCAGTTAAGACCCTCTTGTAGTCGATCGTTTTCAGATCTAATTAACCAGTCAGTTAAGACCCTCTTGTAGTCGATCGTTTTCAGATCTAATTAACCAGTCAGTACGACATGGTAATTCTGTTTTGATAGGCACCATGGTAAGGTGGTCAGACTCGCGGCTCCCATCATGGAAGGTAAGGTTCAGTTCTCGGCATAAGGATAGAGCCTTCAGTGTTTCACACAGTTGCAATATTATTATTATGATTATTATCATTATTATTGATCAAATTCATTCCCATTTATTATTATTATTATTATTATTATTATTATCAAAACTAAGCGCTGAATGAACTGCGACCGAGTCGTACGCTTCCACGTAAATATAATTGCTCGTTCTGTCTTACAGATATATGGGTCGGCGTGAGATATCGTATGTGGGTGCATGGAAATCAAGGTATTTACGATGGCTGGGTTAACAACACCGCCCCCACTAGCTCCGAGATGGGTTTGTGTGGACTCCTGCAACCTTTCGATGGTGTCCACTACTTGGTTGAAAATGACTGCTACCAACCTAACATCTTCCTCTGTCAGAACTTGTATGCTTAAAATGTCTAGTGGTAATGGAGAGAAGAGGATATTATTTTTATTTATTTTTTTTAGCACCTGTCGTCTCACACTAAGATACGAAAAAAACAAAACAAAAATATAATGTTCACCATCGTTCTTTCAATAGCTGTCTAACTTGATATGCGCAGATATCATAGTTCAAGATCAACACCCCTTTGGAGTTGCAGCACTCTTCTTACCACCTCCAGGACTCAAGTCCGGCCAACCAACGCTTCAGAATCCTTGACAACACGTCAAGTCATAAAAAAAAAACTGTCTCCACTAATTGCTGTCTAACAAGCTCACACAAACCTGCTTGATGCTCAAGCCCTTAGTACAGAAAGCCACTTTAAACCCCACCCTCGAACCCTTCCTGGAATGGCCCCTGTCCATTTTTTTCTCTCCAGATTTCACACCATCTCGATCTTGATGTCACACGACAGCTAGGATTGGAAGGGAAGGGTATATGCAATACCTTGAATCAAGAGCCCTTCAATTTTAAGACACCTCTGTGGAAGGGTTAGGGGTAACTACAAGGTGGAGCCAGTATGGTTAATAAGACACATGTACGTCACTTGGTTATCTTTGCTGTGGAGAGACGTTCCACCGACCAGTTGCTTTATCAATCCAACATTCACTGTGGAAGACCTAAAGCAGTGGATGTGTCCATTCTATCAGTTTTGTTGAATTTAAAGTGGATGCCCGAGGATGGAGACTTGTATACTGAGAGACAAGTGAGAAACAATGAAAAACGGCACTTTTTGGGTTATTCTCTAAAACCAAAATTTATCCTGAGGGGGAATTTTTCAACAAAAAATACCCTTGCCAAATTTAAAATTTTATTTAGGCACATGAAACACTTAACTAAAATTATCACACATAGTGTAAACCCACCTTGGAAAACAAAAAAAAAAATGTCAAGTGACTTATTTTATAGTAAAAATTTATTTAGTATAAATCATGGGGAGCGTTTAAACCCGTGGATTATACAATGTGTGTGTGGGGGGGGTTTAAGGGAAGGGATATTCGGGCTCAGTTTGGGGAACCAAGCACAGACCCAAATTTCCTTTAGACCCAAAGGGGCCCCCCCACCGCATCAAGGAATTTCCCCGTGAGGGGGGTCTACAGTAATCTTTAACCAAAAAAATATGACCTAGTCTCCCCACAAGTTCTGCCCACATGTGACAGCCCTCCCCTTTTCAAACCCCCTCAGGAAAGGGTTTTCCTTTGATGTTGGCGGGGGGCTCTTGATTTGGGGGAATTGGATCTGGCCCCATTTCCCCCCCAAATTAACCCTTTGGAATCCTTCTACTTTGATACGTTCGGGAAATTGTTTTTTTAGAACGGGTTTGTGACAAAACCCAAACTAGGGAAACAATTTTGCTTGACTTGGTTTTTTCCAACAAAGATTCATAAATATTTTGATTTTTAATGATGAGCTTGGGGAAAAAGTAAACACAAATCACTTAGTTTCAATTATCAGGGAATTACCCAGATAACTGCAATCAAATCTTTTCCCCCAGATTTTCGCTTGGCCGACTTCAGGGACTGAAATTATTATTTTTTTTAATCAAAAAAAAAGCCCCTAAGCCACAAGGACATACACGCGGGCGGGGCAGGAAGGAAGTGGGGGCATCGGGTTGGAAAAAAGGGAGAGGGATGAGAAAAACAGGTTAGGATAAAAAAGGGGGGGCAGTGGAGGGTAAAAGGGTAAAGGGCAGCAAGAGACTGAACCAAAAAGGGCTGGGGGGAGTGCGAAAAGAAACATCAGAGTTTGGGGAAAGGTAAATCGGGGCCCTTGTCAAAAAGTAAAATGAGAGAGTGGGTTTAAAAAGGGAAAGGGTCCATCAAAAGAAGGGAAGGAAAAAGAGAGAGTAGTAGAACAAAGACACGTTGGAGGAAAATTCTGCGTGCTCGTTGATAGAGGGGCTTTAAAACAAAATTTTTTTTTGGGGCCTAATCATACTGGAACTTAAACACTGCTCACAAAAGGGGGAAAAAGGGTGTTTCTCCATGAGATACCCATGAGTAAAACAGTGTGGCCAATGCGAAGGCGGGGGAGGTGGTCTCCCAACTTCGGGACTGATGACAAGAAAACCCGGCCCAGTAACCTTATGCTCGGTTTAATAGAATGAAAATTTGTTACCGAGCAAACTTTACCAACGTTTTTTGCCAAAAGGGGGGCAAGGGGGGGTAGCTAAATTCAGCAAAATAATTTCCGAAATTTGGGAAAACCCCCGATAGGAAATTGGGAGGTATTTTTTACTGCTGACCCCCAGCAGTTCCTTTTTCCCCGTTCATTGCCCTGTACGTCGGGCATGACCAAAGGGAAACCCAAAAAAAAAACAATATCTTTTTTGTTTTTGGGGGATTTCCGGGGGTAGCCAAAGTTTTGGGTACGGGGAAAAATAGGGGATGAGATGTTTTCAAATTTTCGTTTTAGCCTGAAAAGCACTAAGGGGGTCTGGGATACTTTCAAATGATGACACGGCATAGATTTCAAAAAAGAATAAGTGCTGCAAGAATGGATAAGTTTTAGCAGTAAAAAAAGCTAGCTTAAGATTAAAATAAAAATGCCCTCGTACGACCCCGTCCCCGGAAAAAACTGCTGCAAATCCCAAAGGCCCTCTGAAGACCCTTTGGGGCCATCCCTTTTTACACAGCGGTTTGGGATGAAATTTGGGGGTGGAATGATCAAGAAAAAGAGAGCGGGGGGAAACCAAGTAAACAGTTGAGGGTTTCGAGCAAGGGGGTGAGAAAAAACAGACCCGAAAAGCTGGAACTTTCCCCGGGGGGCAGGGAAAAATGAGATTTACATGACCCTATAAAAGGGGGGTAACTGAAGGGAAGACAAGAGTGAATGTATTTTTATTATTTTAATTTAAAAAGAAGCGCTAAGCCCCAAGGTAAAACACTAAATGAATGTTTGGCAAAAAGAAAAAAGGGGCGGAGGAAACAGGGGGGCGAACGAATAAAAGTGTTACTAATATCGGTGACCATTCTATAAAGGAAGGATTGGTAGATCGTGAGAGGTACATAGTAACGAAGGCAAAGGGCCCCACGCGATCAGACAAGGGGTGGAACATTTTTTCTGTTTTAAAAAGGCCTTTTCAAAAAGGGGGAAGGGGGCGAAAAGCACCCAAACCCCAAACCCTAAGCCTTGGTGATGGATAGAGTTAAGGCTTTGAGAGAGTAGCAGGAGAGGCCGCCGGGGAAAAAAATTGGTCACCATAATCGGGGTTTCGATTAAAAAGAGGGCTGAATGTAGGCGAAGCAAATTCGGGGCGATCAGCTCCCCCGGGGAAAAATGAGCAAGGGTTTTAAGAAGGTTTTTGCCGGCTTTTGGGGCAAAATTGCCTTTCAGGGGTAATGTGGGGGTTTTCCAGGTTAAAAGGGCGGGCCAAAAAGAAGGCCTAGAAACCTGACTTATCACGTTTTTGGGGGTACGGGGAAACCATAGAGTACAAAGGATGATTTGGAAAATAACAGAGCGCCCAGTGAAAATAAATTTTTTTTGGTTTAGTTTTGGTACTTGAAAAATTTAAAACCCATGTTGGTGGCCCCCCAAGGGGGAAAAAACGGTCGACCGCATGCTGGGGAGAAACTGGGAATAAGGGGAAAAGGGCAGCGCCTATTTGGGGCTGAAAAATTACTTGGGTTGGGGTAAATTTGGGGGTCCTGACTATGGGTCAGGTAGGTGATCTTGGTTGCCAATTTTTACAGTTTTTCAGAGCTAGTTCTAGTGCCCAGACAACCTTTTTTTCCGGTAGGAAAATTTGATCTAACAAAAATGATCCAAATGGAAAGGAAAAGATTTAAACATCTCATTGGGCAAAAAAGAGGCATATATAGGCGTATCGAAAGAGGGGAGGGGAAAAGTTAAGAAATCAATATATTCAATTAAAGAGAGAACTAAAAAAAAAGGAATAAGAAAAGCAAAATGAGATGAGGCTAAGTCGCAAGGGATTCAAAGACTAACCCAAAAGGGTTCTTTCAGGTATACAGAAGTAAGATTAGGGACAAGGATTGGCCCATTTAAGAGTAACTCTGGTCAGATCACTGACAGTGATAAGGATATGTGTGAAATTCTAAATACCTACTTCCTCTCAGTTTTCACCCAGGAAAATAACTAGCAATATTCCTGAAATAATAGATTACGTAAAACCCAGGATGATAATAAACTATGTACGATTGCGGAAAACTAGTGACATGGTCCTCAGACAAATAGAGAAACTAAAACCTAACAAATCCCCAGGTCCTGATGAACTGTTTTGCAAGGGTGTTAAAAACGAATGAAAAGAGGAACTTAGCATACCTTTGGGCTAATCTTTTTTAACATATCACTACAAACTGGCATAGTGCCTGAAAAGTGGAAAATGGCAAATGTAATCCCTTTATTTAAAGGGCAGGGGACAGGTCCTTGGCTTCAAACTATAGACCAATAAGCCTTACCTCCATAGTGGGAAAATTTTATGGAATCAATAATTGCCGAAGCAATTTAGCCATCTGACAGGCACAGATTGATTAATGATTCTCAACCCCGGTTTTACAAAGGGACGTCCTGCCTTACGAATTTACTAACTTTTTTCACTAAGGTGTTTGAGGAGGTAGATCATGGTAATGAATATGATATTGTGTATATGGACTTCAGTAAGGCTTTCGATAGAGTTCCACACCAGAGGCTATTGAGGAAACTTAGGGCCACGGAATAGGAGAAATTTTTTCCTGGGGAGAGGCATGGCTGGGCAAATAGACAGCAGAGAGTTTGATAAATGGGGAGAAATCAGAATGGGGGCACCTCACAAGCGGTGTTCCTCAGGGGTCAGTGTTGGGCCCGCTGTTGTTCAAAATTTACATAAAAGACATAGATGAGGGAATAAATAGCGACATAAACAAATTTGCTGATGACACCAAAATAAGCCGTCCAATTCATTCTATTGAGGACATTAGAGCACTCCAGGGTGATTTGAATAGACTGACGCAATGGTCGGAGAAGTGGCAGATGCAGTTTAATATTGACAAATGCAAAGTTCTAAATGTTGGACAGTTAAATAACCATGCCACATATAAACTAAATAATGTAGATCTTAATACTACTGATTGCAAAAAGGATTTAGGAGTTCTGGGTTTGCAGTAACCTAAAACCAAGACAACAGTGCATTAGTGTTCGCAATAAAGCTAACAGAATTCTTGGCTTCATATCTAGAAGTATAAAATAATAGAAGTCCTCAGGTTGTTCTTCCCCATTATATATCCTTGGTTAGGCCCCATTCAGACTATGCTGCTCAGTTCTGGTCACCGTATTACAGAATGGTACAAATGCTCTGGAAAACGTGCAGAGGAGGATGACAAAGATGATCCCATGTATCAGAAATCTTCCCTATGAGGATAGACTGAAGGCCGTGAATCTGCGCTTCTCTCGAAAGGGGTAGAATTAGGGGGGATATGATCGAGGTGTATAAATGGAAAAAAAGGAATAAATAAAGGGGATGTAAATAGTGTGCTGAAAATTTCCAGCCAAGACAGGACTCGCAGCAATGGTTTTCAAGTTGGGAAAAAATTTCCCGATTCTGGAAGGATATAGGAAAGCACTGGTTTGGTAATAGAGTTGTGGATGAGTGGAACAAGCTCCCGAGTACAGTATTGAGGTTTAAAACGTTTGTGAAGTTTTAAAAATAGGTTAGATAAATACATGAGTGGGTGGGTGTGAGTTGGACCTGACT